TCAGTTGATGCTGAAGGCGAGGAGGACGAAGGAGACGAGTACTAGACAAGCGGTTTATCATCACAGATATCAGTTAAACTACTATACTTTTAAAAAATTCGCCATTAAAGATCTGTTTCATTAGACTGGATGTGTGGTAGTTTATTTCGTAGCGCAATTCTCAGTAACTGCGCAGATCCAGAAAGGGCGATATTTCCCTATGCGACCGCAAAAATTGCCCAATGCAGTATTTCCTGTATTCTGAAGATTTGTATTTTGGGCTTTCTGATCTTGTAACCAAATACAGAGCGTTTTTAAGGACGGACATCTTTTCGTTCAAATATGGAACTACATTATTTGAAAGCTTTCTGTGGCGTAGCATGTTAGACGTTTGTTTTTCCCTCCCCCCATGGGGTTATGTGCGTACAAGAGTACGTGAGGCACCAAAAGCCATGTTTTTTTTTAGCCATTTTGGCCTGAAATAGGGTACGCAATTCAAGAATTCAACATACTCGATAAGGATTACACAATTCCAATAGCAATTTCAAACCCGAATTTAATTAACTGCGTTTCGTCCGAATAAAGAAATCAAGTGTATCAAACTGACTAACGTGCCGGCCAAAGCCTATCACAGATCTATAATCCGAACCAGAAGCATATTAACAATCTAGGTGATATGCTTCTGTCCGGAATTAATAATGACAATAAAACTTAAAGCTTTAAACTTTAAGTGTCAAACCATGTAGCCTGGGAGAACTCCAATAAGGGGACACAGACTAATACAAAACAAAAAACTGAGAAGACTAAGATATCTACACTAAATTATGAATAATGCAAAATGCAGTCTGACATGTTTCTAAGACAAAGCTAACCTTATAGGTAATGTTAACTTGGTTTACGATCCATGATCCGAACTTCAAGACGAGTAGGGTCCGGAATCCGGGCTAAAATGCACAGCTGATCCACGATCTACGGTATTTTAGAAATCCGCGAATCCCCTCAGTCCGCAGTCCGTGCGCTCTTAAAGTCCAATTAACCACCCACCCTCCACCCCGACCCTTCCTCTGGAAAGATTGCGTGACGGCCCAAAGTTATTATGGGATATGCTCTTGGTGAGCACGGTGGTAAAGATGTCGGCGGATTGCGCGAATCTCTCAAAGACGTTTTATGGTCGTTCTCTGCCACAAAACCTGATTGATTATCGGTCTGCAGAATCCAAAACTCGCTTGTGTCGTGCTCTTCAAACTGGCTATGCTGTTCCATACCTCTCTTTGTCCTCATGTTTTAATACACAAGCTGAACCTGCATACTGCGGTGTTAGTACACTAGCCATCATTTTAAACGCGTTACGGATTGATCCTCAGCGCATTTGGAGAACTATTTGGCGGTGGTATTCAGAGGAACTTCTAGACTGCTGTCGTCCTTTAGATGATGTGAAGAAATCTGGAATAACTTTGGAAGAATTTGTTTGTTTAGCAGAGTGTAATGGGGCTTCTGCTTTCCTTGTGCGACCTTCTGACGCTAAAGAACAATTTGAAAAGTTTGTGCAAACCTTAGAGCGAGTTTGTACTGGAGATAGACAGGAAAAAGGTGAAAATTTGGACGAAGAAAATCCAGAAGAGATTATGGCCATATCTTATTCACGGAAAACTCTTGGACAAACTGGGGATGGTCACTTTAGTCCCATTGCTGCAATGGACAAGGAAACGAGCTCCGTGTTGCTGTTTGATACAGCAAGGTTTAAGTATCCGCCATATTGGGTCCCAGTTGAGCTGCTGTTTCAATCAATGTTACCACTGGATAGTGCAACAGGCAAGAGTAGAGGTTACGTGCTCTTGAAGGCCAGACATGAATTTCAAGGAAGGAAAGTATGCTGTATTTTGAGAGAGAATATGGATGAGGATAACACCCCTCGAAAAGATTTGCCAGAACCCAAGCCAGCTTATGAGAGCGACCAATGCAGTTCGGTGCCTTGCAGTGTTTGTACTGCCTCACCACTTACCCCTTCCCCTTCTTGACAATAATAAATGTAATAACTAAGACACTTGCAATGTCTATAGAATAGAGGAATATCAGGCATCTTAATTGTAGTCTGGCTTAAACCCAAGGTTTAAGAAAGAGGCTGACTCCCCTTCAGTTGTCTCTTAAGAAGTGCTGAATGTGTGACAGCCAAGAAAGTCTGGATGAAACCCCTTTTGCTCATGCTTCCATTCTTAATATTCAATGGACCTTTGAGACAACTGGGGCAAGTCTACAAAAATGGTGCACTGGTACAGTTCAACCCCTATTNAAAGCAGCTTAGCAATACCTGCCAAACAAAATTATAAACTAAGGAAAACCATAATTTGCTCAAGCGCCTTCACGCTAGTTCGATTATCTGATCATGAAATTTGAACTCAATTCTGTGATTTTTCGGCTTCACGGGTTGTCGACGGTTTTTCGTAATTTTCTCATAAATGTAAAAACTCTAGAACCTAAAACTTATATCACGATTCTTAGCATACCATAGTTTATCTCTGGACGAAATATCAAGGGGTCCCTTTTTGCGACCTTGTGCCGCTCCTCACGCGGTGGTTAGGGAGAGTGGCTCTTAAATGCTTGTCAGAGTATCAGTATTTCTTTCCTTTCCTTGGTAGTTAATTTTCCTTTTGGCGAAGCTTTTGAAATTAGATAGTGCCTGGTTGTTATGATCACGGGAGGGAGTCACAGTATTATGACTTTCTTGTTCAGTCTTATTTTGTAGTTAAGGAGCAGTTTTTGCTCGCTAGGAATTTACTGCATTTTGTACGGAATCTGCCTGTTTTGCTCTGGATTGCTCAAATTTATTTTGAATATACACTTATATTAAATTTATATTTATTTCAACTGAGGTAGGAAATATTCATACACCTATTTGTGTAATTGTCGTACGTTTTTCGTGGACTACAAAGCTAGTTTAGTCGAACCTACATGGCTCGTAACGTGGCAAGACTTCAGCAGGTACAAAATACTAATAACGAGACTGAATGAGAGGCGGTGTACCAAAACTGCAGTTGCTAAGACTCGGTGTCTACTAAGCGGCTCAAGATAAGATGCGTCAAGAGTTGGTCGTCGATGTCGACCTGGGGCCCGTTTCTCGAAAGCCCCGGAAACTTTTCGGGCCCGTAAAGCCTTTTTAGTTCATCTGTATCTAAAAACGGAGAAGTGTGTACGCATGAAACTTCTTTTATGTAGGGAACCTATGTTCATTTTAAGAATATGTGAATAAAACAGCTCTGTAATCGTAAGGTTCGAGATTTTGCTATGATTTTCCGGGCCCGAAAAGTTTCTGGGTCTTTTGAGAACCGGTCCCCTGGCCCGGGTTGTTCGAAAGGTGAATAACGCTCTCCACCCGATAAATCACTATCCAGCGGATAGCGTGGTTTGTTTTGTTAACACTTATCCACTGGATAGCGATTTATACGGTGGATAGCTGTATCCAGCCTTCGAACAACTGGAACCTCAGTGAAAGTTTCATACGAGTTGTCTTGTTTTTGTGTAGATTAAAAAGTTGACAGAAAGACCGTTATCGATCCTAAATTGTTTTGAGAACATTTGTTAAAATAACTGTACGTATATGCGAGAAGTTACACGCCTGCCGGAACCGTCGAGATTGCGGCAAGAAATCCCCATACCTACGTTATTCCTTTGCATTTATTTTCGTTTAAAGTTTGGTGCAATAGTGTAACTTATCATATGGCTAGCTCCGTGAATGGACAGGATCAACCGAATCCTGCGCTGGGCGCATTTATAAAAAACTCAATGCGCTAACATTACTATAAAAAATAAATTAGTTAAATCCTATAAAATTTTTCTAATAACAGTACATAAATAAAATAAATGAAATAATTGATTAAAATACAGTTTCTCATAAAATAAAATAAATCAGAAGTAGGATTTCCGAAACAAGAATGTTTTGAGGGCAGATTTAAAAGACGAAAGAGATGTTGTATTTTTAACAGAATCCGGTAGACTGTTCCATAATATAGGTGCGGAGAAAGAAAAGGCACGTTCACCGTATGTCACAGAGTTCACAGTAGGGACAGTGAAAAGAAGTTTAGAGGATGAGCGMAAGCTCCGTTGCGGGTGSTWTTGTTGRAGMAGGGACGACAAGTWGGCTGGACAAAGTCCATGGATAATCTTAAAAGTGATGAGCAGAAGTTTGAATAWAATCCGTGATTCYACAYGTAGCCAGTGTAATTCTCGAAGGGCAGGTTTGATGTGGTCGTATTGCTTGGTTCCAGTGATAAGGCGTGCGGCAGTGTTTTGAACTCTTTGGCGCTTTCTTGCCCGCTTACCCGCTATGTCCCGCAAGAAAATAGTGTTCTTTTTCCATGTAATAAATCCCTTATTTACCAAGCTTGTTCGGTCAAGATGGCTGGATATTGGAGTCATTCTTTATTTTTCGTGTTGATGGATCCGGACTCCGTCTCGGTTCATAAACACGCAAAAGAAAGAACAACTAATCGGTAGAAACAACGGAATATTCCAATAAGATAGATTTTGTATTGTCTCGCCCTCGAACAAATTCGGCAACTTTGAACGCTTGTAACTGCGTTAAACGCATTAAGGCAATGAACTCTGAATTTAATGACTTTTCCTGACGAAAAATTTATCTTGAAATAATCACCCATGTTCGATAAATCAAAATTCTAACATGGTCCCGAGGCTTTCTGTCGAGAATTGCAAATTTCTAAGATTCCTTTGTCTAATAGAGGTGGCCGTTTAATAGAGATTCACCCGAAAACAACGTTGGGCGTGGTCCAGTTTTCAGTTTACCAAATATAAGTACAAACAAATGTACGTAGAGAAAAAGTAAAACAATGATGGTTATAATACGGTCCATAACGTTAACAAAAGCTAAAGAAACAATTACGTGTACAGACGCGACGTGTCTGTCAACCCAACACTGTACAAACAAACTAAAACACTTCGAGACTTTGTTTTGCGATTGTCTTAAAATCTTATATACTGCTGAAAATGTGTTTTCACAGTATTCGACAGTGTTCGACAAGCGCGGGATACGCAAATGCCTCACTTACTGGGGAAGTGACAGGAAAAAATGTAACAGGCAACGTAAAATGTTTCAAAAAAGATGAATAACTTTAAAAAAACGCGCGGTTACCCCTACATTTTATGTTATGAAATGAAAGTGGCGAGCCTATTCAACACGTGCTTAGTTTCTGGTTGTGAGCAAAAGGTATTTAGACTGTATTTTAGCTGAACCAGAGGAAGGCTGTCAGAGACGCTAAAAGCGCTGTTGCGACGATTTTGTTATTAAAAACATACCAAAAATGGTTTTTATGTTACCATTTGCTATGTAGTTTAAAGATCTTTATAAATGTGTTTGCTTTTCTGTATGTAAAGGCAAATTCTAAGGAAATCTGTGAAGAAATATCCTTTCATTCTTTTTCAGAAAAATGCTGATGTCAGCATTTTTGAGATTCAAGGCTAATTATCTCGAAAAAATGCGTGGCTACCCCCATTTTTCTTTATGGATTCCAATAGCCCTTGCAATGATCTACTTTTTCCGCGTGGTCCTAACCTGGCGCAAAAACCTTTGTATTTAGTAGGCACCGTCCTTAACTTCAAATCGTCCTGGCCGTTTAATAAAGGTACATAAAACAAAACAAAATCACCCTTGGGACGACGAGAAGCTGGCCGCGGCCGCTTGACAGAGGTGACCGTTGAATAGAGGTTTTTATTACAGTGTATAGCTGACGATTTTTCCGGAACTTTGGCCGCTGGCCGCCAATTAAAGACCCAATAAAGGTTGGCCGCTTAATAGGTAGCGTCTTAATAGAGGTCCGACTGTATTGAAGTTTGGCAGAATGCCTCGGTGCCAGGAACTTGATGTTTCCGTGGTAATGGTATGCATGACAGAGATGTATCTCACGTATTTTTCCTGTTTGTAATGAACAATTTTGCAGCTTTCTTGCGTACCTTTTTGTGATATCGTGATTTTTGAACATGCTATATATCCTCCAAGTTTGATTGTCATATCTTTCATAATCTACGAGTTACAAGGAGAGGGCGTCAAAAGCTCCCCCACTCCGTCCCCTGAAGACCAGAAACGTCCGGTCTGAATGCAGGTAAAGGCGTCCAAAGACAATCGATTTATAAAGAGACTGCGAATCTGAATATCAGTAAGAACATCAAAAACTCTTTAAACTCGTGGACAATAAGCTGGTATTATCAAAATCAAAGGCGAACATTAGTCGAAAGCGAAAGCATCGAAGCATCAATAACCAGGGTTCATGTTATACATTGGTGTTTGGAGAGATTGTTAATATTTTCCGTTCTTTTTTAACCAGCCTTCTGATGTTTTGCAGTTAACTAGAGCGTTAGGTTGACAGTCTTGACAACGGCGGTTCTTTCAAAAGATCTCCGTAAGCGATCAAAGCCTGAAGGTAAAAGTTAGTTTCATTAAAAATAGCATAAATTAATGAGGTTTGCTTTCTAGTCGTTTCTTTGTTTTTCAGCTCAGTTGAACAAGATTATGAGAACGAAACTTATGTTTGTAACAATTTCTTTTACTGGATCTTGTGCTACTTTTTGACCCTCATTGCTTCTTATCATTTCTTATTTTCCGGGGTAGGTGTAGGTAAAATTACCAGAAAACCTATCCGACAAATCGGCTAATAACATGCTTTTCAGGTATAGGAGGCTCAACTGAAAATGAAATAAAACAGCGACTTGAACAGGCGTATGAGGATAAATAATGACCTCCTTTAGTTGTCCATTTTACTTAATAAAAAGCTTTAGTATATTGCTTGCTTTCTTCTCTGGGTAAATTAATGTAGACAAAATAGTGTTGAGCCCTTTATCCGTACACCGCTGTTTACAATATGCGCGAATACGTTGTGTGGTAGCCTTCGGTGGAACCCAGGATTTCTCGTCAATTAGCAACTTTGTCCCGTTTCCTGACGTAACCTCTCTGAAGACCCGGTGACACACAATACTCGATCATTCATTGGTTTATTAACGAAGGGAATGGGAACTTACACTCTCGGATATTAGATACAATTAGTACAAAGCTAAATGGAGCGGAATTGGTCGTCGGCAGAAGTTCCATTGCATTTTTTAAACGGAAAACCACATTCCTGTACGCGGAAATAAAAACATCATGCAAGTAAGTGGGAAAGGTTTCGTTCTACACAAACGCTACTCTGTCTGTTAATTTTTTGCATTTTTTTGTATTGAAACGGACAGTTTTGGCACACCATGCTTTTTCGGTACACTGATTAAATAAGAACCAGTGTTCAAAGGGGAAATTTATCACAAAAATGTGTTCTATTGCTGTTAAATTTTCAATAGATTTTCCAATAGTTTATATTATGGTTATATACCATATGGTGTGAGGTAAATCTTTTGAATTTCACCAAACGTCTTTTTCTGTTGTATACCATTTTTTTCAAAGCACGCCTTTGAACTTAAACTTAGCAACAGGAAATACTCTCGCTGGATCACAAATTCAATAGTATTTTTTTTATTGCATCGAACTAATTTTGAAAAAGAATTAACCGTTAACATTGTTATCAAAAATCTGTTTTGAAAACTTCTCGAAAGTTAAGCAGGTTATCTGGTGGCTGTTATTATATGACCCAAGAGTTAATATTGGAATGTATGGAGGTACCACGCCATGGAAATATGTAAACGTACCCTACACAAAGAAAATAAAGGTAGTTATACAATTGGGGAAAACTTGTTCGGCACCAAGTCTTGAAAAAGTAATCTTTCCTGAATTGTAAATTTTAATTTACTAGCTAACTCGCATAAGTGCCTGTTTATAGTGCTGTTTAATCAATTCCGAGCTTCGAAGAAAGTTAGTTACTGAATTTAGAGATCCCAGCAGTTTTACGTTTCGAATTTCTTTTATAATTCTGAAGGACTTTCATTCTTGTTATAATTCTGAAGGTATAAATCAGGATATTTATACTGCTCTAGTTGATCACAGTTATCCAGTAGTCTCTCATTAAGTACTATGGATAATCAGTTATAATTCTGTCGAACATTTGATAGAATTTAAACGTATAGATTAACGATATGATAAGGAGAGAAATGATGGTTAATGTTAAGCTTGGTAGAAACACAAGAAAGATAATTGATGAAACGATGCACACGGATTTTTTTCCAAGTAGCCTTGTGTAAATGATTGTTCAGACTATCTTATTTAACCCTTCGACTTAAAGAAGTCGGAACGAAAACGTAATTATTATAGTTTTTCGGAATTTGGTTTTGTCCTCTGAAAGATAAATGTTTGACATGGATCAAGGGTTCTTCCCGGCTAATTCAGGCGATTATTAAGGAAAAGAGACGTAATTAATCGACCAAAAAGTCGAACGTCTCGTTAGCCGAACTAAATGTATATTACGTTTAGCTCATGAAAAGTTCAACGCAAAAATAGAACATTTGGTCTAATTAGAAATCACACGTAAAGGAAAAATAGTGTGTTTTCAACCAGAATTCAGGCGTGCGAGTCTACCAATCAGTGATCACTTTTGAAATCTTCTCTCAAAGTTGTTTGTAAACTAAACGGAGTCGACGAACACGCTAAAATTGCCTGCCACGAATCAAAGTAGATGTCTCAGTTGACTGGCGTTGTGAAAACAAGTTTGTACTCCCAGCGGAAAGCTAATGTAATAACTTTGGTTCCTTCAAGACCATTCCAAATTAAGTTCAGTGACGGTAATTTATTACAATTAATAACGTACAATCAAAGTCTTTCAAATCGTCAGGTCCGCAGGGTTTCATTGATATATGCCCCTTAGTTTTTATTGTCTCTCAGTCAACATCATTAGAGTGGGAGAAAAATAAAAGACGCAGAGGGCTAAGAAAAAAAAAAAAGAAAGAGTAGCGTAAATTTTGCAAACGTGGTCAACTGATGCACCAAAACTTTGACCACAACCATTCAAATTTCCCAATGGCGAGAGATCGAGCGAGCAACATGTAATTTTTAAATATAAATACTTTAGCAAGCAGAAAGTTGATGGGAATTAAAAAGTTAAAAAATTAAAAACAATTAGAAAGGAACATGAGTTGTTCATTTTATGAAAGAAACTGTCATGTTTCTCATATCGGGCAAGTTAATCCCTGTAATATATCGCGTTTCATTTCTCTCCGTTGTCTACATTTATTTTATTTTTCAACTTATCCGATTTCTGTTTTAGAAATTTCTTCTGTCTTCATCTTCAAGTGTAGTATTACTGATTAAAATTATCGTGATGAAAGAAATGAGAAGAACGACAGCTAGAACAACAAAATTGAGAATTTACCGCAGCTTTCTTAACTTTGCGCCGTCACTGCTTCCCAAGGGCATTTGCGTCATGCAAACTATTTTTGAAGAGGAAATATTGTAACGATTTTGCCTTACTTTGAACAAATATTGTCAGGTCGACAAAATCATGGAAATTTACGATGTGAAGCACTCAAATAATTTAAGGTTAATACAAACTTTTAATATTACAAAACGATAGTCGAAGCGATTGCAAAGTTCAAATGTCGCGCTTGGAAAACGAGACAAGAAGGAGAGGTCGAAGGAAACAGCTCTTTGCGCTGGAAGGAATCTCTTTTAGCGCCGAGCTGACAGAGGCAAATTTAGGTCAATTTGTAGTTAATACTTTTATAAAGTTCTCCATTTAGAAACGTCTTTACATTTTCTAAGGAGGCCCAAAATAAAGAAATGACGAAATTTCCTTTTTAGAAGTGCAGCATCTCTAAATTGTGAAATATTTATTCTATACTGAAGAAATTATTTAGCTAGAACGGTATGTAGTTAAGTAAGAGGCTATTCTTTGCTTATTTTCATTTTCAAGTTTAGAAAATCGTAAATCTTGTCGAAGATCGTATCTAATTTTCCACAGAAAAGTCGAAACTGAGGCCCAGTTTAGACGTCGTGCTTCCGCCGTGCCGAACTAAATTCAGGAATTAGGTTCGACAAAAGTACGGTAGAAGTACGGTGTTTGAATCAAATTTTTGAATTAAGATCGGCAAAGTTGTTTTTCCGCCGTGCCATAGTCGCACCAAATTGCAGTTATGTTCGGCACGGCAGAAGCACGACGTCTGAACTGGGCCTTAACCGCCTCAACTTCCTTGTTCTACAATACATTCGGGCTATTGCAATTTCAAATTCATTAAGAGGAATATATGCTGTTACCCTCGTTTTACGCAAGCTTAAATTTTAAACCAATCCCTTGTCAATATTATATATTTGGATAATGGTTAACAACTTAAAAAAGTTTGAATCGTTCATGCTTAGCGTAAATAAAATGCTAGTCACTCCTAAACTACTTGCTGAGAGATGGCACTTCACAATTAACAAAACTTTAGGATTAAAAAAAATGTTAATTATGTTTTGCCTTTGTCTTTATACACTTTACATTTCCTTAAGAATGTATGAGCAGTCAAGGAGAACAGAAAATAACAATATCGCGAATTATTGTTCTCCGCATTATAATGAGAGTGATGATGCATGTCGTTATGATTTTTTAGTTTACGTCTGGGAGGGAACATGTTTTTATTCTCGATGGTATCTATAAATGTCAATGAAACCAGTCGGCATTTTCTTCCACAGATTCAATGGAAACCTAAAGCCATGTGATCTTGATCGTGAATCACGATCTTCAGACGTGGGAATATGGCGAAGAACGAGTATGAAAAACTCAACTCTGAAGAGGACGCTAAAAATGTGAACCCTGTTATAAACGCCAACATCTTCTCCCGCCTCACAATATGGTGGATGAACAAAATCTTCGTCACAGGAAACAAACGGCCGCTCGAGGAAGAAGATTTATTTCCACTCCTGGAGGAAGACAAATCCGAAGTATTAACAGAGAAATTACAAACGGAATGGGAAAAAGAATTGAATAAAAGACATCACGGCAAGAGGCCGAGATTTTGGAAGGCGCTGATGCGGGTCTGCCCGTGGTATGAATATTTCTCAATTATTGGTCTTGTGATGACCGATATGGCAAATAGAATGACTTTGCCAGTGTTGCTGGGATTTCTGATTTCCTATCTGATGGGAATACGGCAATTGGACGTTAGCTTCAAATATATTTTACCCACGTTTATATGCATCACCTCTCTCGGAAGGAACCTCGCTCAACATCATTACCAAAACAGGTCGGCCTTGCTCGGAATGAGATTTAGGGCGGCAGCAACAGGATTGCTTTATAAAAAGGTAAGTACAAGATCCATTGCCTTCAAATGCTACGAAGAACACGTTTTTGAGAGAGCTGCGGGAATATTGTAGTTACAGCAAACCTTCCTGCTCTTTTGGAAATATAAATGAGCGCATCGGAGATCACGAATGCTGATAACGAAGAGTCTTGTTAAATTCATTATAAATTAGGCATTTACCGATTCATTTGGTCACAAAATTATAAAGGTCAGAACTAAGAATGCAACGATGACTTTTAACTATTTTACAACTGCAATAAAACAAATTGTTTTAAAACAACATTGAAGTTAGAACTTTGCATAACTGAAGGTTCTTGAAAAAGCCATTTGGCCTCGCTGACCAAACTAATTGTTTGGTGTTTGAGTTTTGAAATTTAGTGCTTGGCAAAATGTCCATCTTGTTTGATCTTCCTTTTCTCAAGACTAATCATTGCATTAATTCAGAATTTGAGAAAAAGGATCCATATTTTTGCAATGCACAACATACGAAGTATCTCTTGCGTAGATAAGTGGCGTCCACTGATTTGCAAAAAGCAGAATCTATTTTTTCTGACCAGAGAAGCGTAAATAATTCTACGAACGCCTTTGCCAGTTTCTAGTTTTCGCTTGAGTTACTTTAAAAACATCATTATAGAATTTGGAAAATCCGTGGTCTGGCAAAACAATTATTCATTTACCGGCAAGGTCATCTTTTTACTTCAGTATATTTAAATTAATGAGGTAAAGTGGAATGATAATAAAGATTGTATCAACGATATTTTCCAGCAAGCCAAAAGATAAAGGCTTATTAATGTGCAATGCAAACATTACAGTATTTTTGGGAAGCTCATTAACCTTGCATTAAGCAGAGGCTTTTGATGGCCGCCGAATGCGCTTGATTAGATTCAAAAATAAGCTTTCGACATGGTAAAAGAAAGAACTGATTTTTTAAACTGAGGCAAATAATGATGCCGGAATTTTGCGGAGGCAATCTGGCTTGGAGCATATGTTTGTACTCTCAAGGTGGTTTCATGCGTAAGTACGTAAAAGGCGTCGTTTCTAGAAAAGTAGTCGTTATTTCTGATCAGAGAACCGTGAAAAAAAGCTTCGATAATGCCACGGCGTCCCTTTTTTATCATTTTTTATTTTTGATCGGAGAAGCGTGAAAGGCATCTAAACAATTTTATGACCATGCTATGAGCTAAATCACAATAGAGATTTTGCTTGTCCCTTCTCATGGTAATTATTGCAATGAGTCGCTTTTACACCCTTTGTGATATTAGCGGGTTATCCGTGTTTCAACACACGTAAGCTTAAAACTAAAATACTGTTTGAAAAATCGACTTTTTCCTTGAATGTACGCGATAGATGCAAAACTTTCGATAGGAGGTACCAAATGTTGCGTATGGCTCCAGAGATGAAATCACTGGAATATGGAGTAAAAACTCTTAGGCCCAGTTCAAACGTCGTGCTTCTGCCGAGCAGAACATAATTGCAATTTGGTTCGACTATGGCACGGCAGAAAAACAACTCTGATTCAGACGTCGTGCGAGAGTCGAACCAAATTCAGAATTTACTGATGCCTCGTAACAATTCTCCTCCTAGCTCCCCGTGGGAACGCAATCCAGCCAAAATATATTAATATAATTTATGAATTTTGTTTGGCGCGACAGAAGCACGACGTTTGAATCGCTGCCGTGCCATAGTCGTGTAGCACGGCAGAGCTTGTCGAACTTAATTGCTTGCCGATCTTAACTTTTGTCGAACTTATTTCCTGAATTTAGTTCGGCACGGCAGAAGCACGACGTCTAAACTGGGCCTTATTAGTAGTCTACAATCTGGCTTATTTTAAGAACAATGCTTCGTGTAAAAACATTTCACTTAAAACTAGTAAGCTTTTCTCGGCAGCAGATTTCGTATGAAAAATATTTCTGAGAACAAGCAGTTTGTGTTTTTAAATAATTACGCCTTCGCATTAACTCGTTCATTCATGATCACACAGGCGTAAAAAAAACAACTTTGCAAAATTTCGTTCCTTGAGCCAGGAAGTTAAAAACTGGTTAGGGTATTTCGGTTATTTCACCTTTGTATTCCTAGAGAAAACTGTTTTAAATAAGTGAGTAAGCATTTATTAACCCATGGAAGACTTTAAAACACAAAAATGTGAAAATGTTTCAAGTGTACTTTGACTCGCTTGGTGGGAACTTGAAGGGGCAGATTTAAACAATATTTTGTTTTGATTGCATTTTGAAAAAAAATTTCTAGGTTCATTTAGCGTTATTTTACATATTTACACAAGTATGGTAGACGCTGTATTTTTATCACCGCCCTGTGGGTGAATGTCATGTCGTGATTTGCTTTTATTGTGTTGTTATTACGCGGGTAGGGTGGGGTGGGTTATGGGCACTTGAGATTTTGAGGTCAGCATTTCCAAGACTGGCTCAAATTACTTTGAAACATTTGCACAAAAACTGAGTGTAGAAAACATGTCTTTTATTAAAGAAATAGCCCATTTCCGAGTTGACCTAAGTCTGCCTGTCAAAGCGAGGCCTGGTACACAACCATTCATATGAAAATGAGTTGAATTTGCATGTGAATGAAATCTCATTTTCATATGAAATGATGGCCACTAAGACTCGCTTTGACAAAGAGGCTTACGGTAATTCGGAACTGATGGCGTACTGTTTTCTCAGTATTTGAAGTTGATAAACAGGTCTATTCCGTAAATCGAGCAACGTTCCTTGAATTAACCAAAGTTCTAATCCAAGAACCTTTCGCCATTTCTTTTTCAAGACTGAGAAGTCAATTTGTTTGTCATCCATCACTCTAGGTACTGCGCATGAGTCAATCAAAGCTCGCAAAGATAACATCCGGTCATGTGATCAACTTGGTATCCAATGACATCCAGCGGCTGGACTTGGCCACTCAGAACCTTTTTGCGTCATTGCGATCCCCGTTCGATCTCGTGATACTAGGAATTCTCCTCTGGATTTTGATTGGATGGCAGGCTGTCACAGGCCTGGCATTCGCTCTCATTCTCATTCCCTACGAAGCTGAGATGACAGGCTGGGTCGCTAAGCTTCGAATGCAGGCGGCACGTGTTACGGACAAGAGGCTGGCAGTGATGAATGAGATCGTCTCTGGAATACGTGCGGTGAAGATGTACGCTTGGGAATGGCCGTACAGAGATGTAGTGCGTATGATTAGGAGGTAAGTTAGGGGAATCCTCAAAGGCGTCAGGTCAATTTTCAGTGAAGCTTTGAAAAACAGGAGTAACATGATAGCTCCAGGTGTATAAATGGGTACCGGTGAATTTAATGCTGGGGGTAACCCTGCGTTTTACTAGCATTCCATCATGATGGAAATAGAGATACTCCTAGTCGCTCCATGCTACAGAAATCGGCATAAGCCCGGACCTGATGGGTCACTTGGCTCGTATGCAGACTTTCTCCTATTTGGGCAAATCGGCATTGTTTAACCAGTCTATTGCTTTGTTGTTCTGCTCTTCAGATCTGAACTGTCCTTCCTGCGGAAAATCTACAACATTCTTTCAACGTTTGCTTCCCTGCAGCACACATACGACAGTGTGATCTGTTTGATCGCCTTCATAACACTCATCTTCACTGGCATACGTCTAACACCATTCAATGTGTTTACAATGGTCGGACTATTGTCGGAAAACAGGCGTTCTCTGGTGTACGGTCTGACGGATGGCATGCAGCTCATTGCTGACTGTTTTGCGTCTCTTGAGAGAATTGAGAGCTTTTTGCTGATAGAAGAATTGAATGGAAAGGAATTAAATCAACAAGAAGACACGACGGGAAATGAAAATGGTGACGAAAAGGAGAAAGACAACAGCGAGACCGTCGAAAAACCCTTCTTGAAGGTGCAGGGCTATGTTATACTTTTAATAAAACTAGTTTTCTTTTTTAGAAGATGCACACTATGGACTCTCTCCTCCGCAGAGACTCAAAGGTCTTTTTTTCGGGCGGGGGAATCCGTTGAACGATACGAGTGCAGACGCTGACTGTTCGCCTGCACTCACCTCGCATAGCGGCTTTCTATATCGGCGAAATGAAAACATCGTTATTCCAATACTTGCCATACAAATCGATGGCTTTGTCCATTTCGAAATCAGGGAACCGAAAACAAAGGGACGCAATAGGCAACTCAGGAACATAAAATTGACTCTCTCTGTGCGCAAGCCGATTCCAATGATAAACGTTAACTCGATTTAGAAAGTTTCGGTGGAAGTGGAAGATTGCTGTTAAAATTCAGGTTCCTAGTTTTTTTATTTCCATTTTTGTCATCCGCATCGAGGACAATAGCTAACGATCTATCAGCAAGTTACAGTGCATGAAAGTTTAATGTACCGCTTTAGAAAATGATTGAATGATCTAGTTATATGTGGAAAGGTTCGCTAACGAAGCAACGAAACTCGAGTATCTAACGGTTGAAAACGAAGGAAGGCGTGTCTCAGACAGACATGCAACTCGTTTGTTCACTTTACGGGCAAAGGTTGAAAATATCATTCAATTAGTTTGCCCTCGTTCTCGGGTATGAAAAATGCCCTGTAAAAGAGATTGGATGAGAAACAAATGAATATTAAGTCAAAATGTTTCTATGTCTTGACTATTATAAGGTCATTTAAACAGCGTAAAAATAATGGTTCTTTTTCCAATTCTAGGCGTCCAACATAACTTGCCACTGGAATGGTAAAAACGAAGCTCCAGTCCTAAGCGACGTGAGTATCGAGGTGGCTGAAGGCAAGCTGCTGCTAGTGACGGGTCCTGTTGGTTGTGGCAAATCGTCTCTTCTCTTAGCATTACTCGAGGAACTTCCCCCAAGCACGGGAAAAGTAACGCGCAATGGAAAAATCGTTTACGTCCCTCAAACCGCCTGGGCTTACAGCGGAACGCTTCGTGAAAACATTCTCTTTAACCAGGCGTTCGACCAGGAGAAATATGATCGAACTATCGAAGCTTGCGACTTAAAAAAAGACATTGCTATGTTACCTGAGGGCGACAAAACTCTTCTTGGAGAACGCGGTGCAAGCTTAAGTGGCGGTCAGCGTGCTCGCGTCAATTTAGCACGCGCAGTGTACAGCGATGCTGATATTTATTTGCTGGATGATCCGCTAAGCGCTGTGGATGCCAAAGTTGGCAAACACATTTTTGAGAATTGCATCAATGGGTTACTCAGCAACAAGGTGCGCGTTCTTGTGACGCATCAGCTTCAGTACATGAAGAGCGCGGACTACATTGTGATCCTGGACAAGGGGGGTGTTGTGAAGCAAGGCGCATATCAGCAGATGAAAGAATCTGGGATGGACATTGACTCACTGGAGAAAGAGTTCCATCTCGGACAAGAGAAGTATCATGAAATTGAAGGAGGCAAAATGACTGTTACAACGGATCAGGTATTTTCAGAACCCTTTAAAGAATTCTCATACAATACTGGAAGGTCTAACGCCTGGGAATTGTTCTCCGAGGATCGTGTCCTTAAGTCCAATGCTGAAAAAAAAAAAAAAGAAAACCGATAAAATGTTTTGTATTTCTTTTGCAGGAAAACGTCAAGCGCAGAGAACGTCGAGAAAGCGATTGCTCTCGTTTGTCCGCCGGAAAGGGTATGACTACTTCTCAAGAGGACCGTATTGTTGGCACCATATCTTCACGCCTCTACTGGGACTACTTCAGATCGGGCCTGCATGGAGTGCTCTTGTTATTTCTGCTGTTGCTTTTCTTCATTGCTCAAGGTAAATAAATGGTTCTTCTAGGGAAACACCACAGCAGTTTGCAATATACACTATGCAGACACTTTCGCGTCTCCCTGAGATACACGTCTGAAAACCGAGCATAACGCAATTCTGCTTAGATTTCAGTAGCAGTTCTTATTTGTTTACAAATGATTATTTATTTATTTATTTATTTGCTAGCTCAAATCCAATTCCACAGGTGATCAAAATAAAATAAAATAAAGAATTAAATATATTTACAAATATAAAAAATGGAGATATCTAAGTAATTAGGCCAGTTTATACAGAATTCTAGATTCCTCATTTTAAATAAACTGCCTGAGATAAGATATAAAATACATAGAATACTGATAAAGACAAATCGCAACAACAATAAGTGATCCGAAAACTATAAAAATTTCTCCTTATTTAAGTTAGTAGTTGTTTTGACGATCGAAGGATAGGTTGATTGCGCTACATGTACTTGATCACCATGGAATCTCCCAGCCTTTAACTTAGGAGTACATATCTTAGAGGAGTAAACCTTTGATAGTCAAACCAGACTTCCTGGATAATTAGATAGAGATGACTAAATTGTAGTTTTTATTGAACACAATGCAGGACATCGATAAAGCGTGCATTCGTTTTTCATGACAAAGTTATCTCTCGAGGAAGTTCTGTTTTAAACATCCTGGTGGTTAGCCTACTTTAGTAGTGTCAACTGGGCCGTTAAGCAATCATATAACGACTGGGAAATAGCAAGCTTGCGCGTTTTATTCCTTAAAGCTAATTTTAACGTTTCATGCAACACATAGTTTGTGCAAGGAATTTCTGGCTGCCCCTACTAACAGATTATTTTTCCACAGCATCGATCATTTCGCCCAATCTGTGGCTTGTTCATTTGACACGATTGAAGTGGGTTGACCAAAAACACAAGTTAAACCTGATTATCTATGGCAGCCTGGTGGGCGGAGCGCTCTTCCTTGCAGTCCTCCGGGGTCTCCTCTACTACTATACCACACTCAGATGCTCAGAAAACCTGCACGATAAAATGGTTCTGTCCATTCTCCAGTCTCCAGTTTACTTTTTCGACACGAACCCATCCGGAAGAATACTTAACAGGTTCTCAAAGGATATTGGGATCGTGGATGAGTTCCTACCGCCGACCTCGCTGCTTTCCGTACAGTACATACTGCAGACGCTGGCCTCTGTTTGCGTCACTTGCTCCACTAACTACTGGGCGATTATTGGTGTCATTCCCATGGTTACAGGTTTCTTTGCAATTAACAGGTAAACATGGTCAACAGAATAAGCTCATAATTATGACCGAAATCTTAATTTTGAAAAATGAAGGGAGAACAGACGTGAAGTGTTTGGTATGATAAAAGACACATTTATTTACCCTCAGCTAATGTTGAAAGCCGATGGCCAGTGGAGCCGAGAATTAAATTTCAGAAACCAAAAATTGAAATTGAATATAACAGGGTTAAAAACCCCAATTGGCAGAAGGCAATCCAGTTGGAGAAACAATTCCAGCTAATGGTCTATGGGCGACTTGATCCCGCGACCTCCGCATTTCAAGTCGGGGTCCCTAACCATTCAGTCACAAGAACGTTTGTCATTTAGAAATATCTTCCCATTCCGCATATCTTCAAAACGGCAGCCGCAGCAAGGCGGGCGTTTCAACTATTTGCCTTCTAAATGATTTAGTCAGAGGTAACTGAAAAGAGCAAAAAAAAAAAAAAGAACGAAAAAAAACTGTTCAAACTGGAAAACGTACATCTTATTCGATGGATCGAAGAAGGCAGAAAATTGGAAAAATTCGTCCGTAATTTTAATGGATAATCGTCAGCAAGTCAACCATTTTTATGCTACTTGGTGCATATCTAGTGGTCCCGACATTACGATTTAAAAAATGTTGTAATCGTTTGACCACGCCGTCATTGGAACATACTGGTAGACGTCGGAAGATAAATGAAATTGGACGAAAGTTTGACTGTGCTGGCCAAACTTCTGTCTAACAGTCAAAAATCCGTGTGGAAATGCCTAACATGTTGCAACATGTCTCACCCATCCAGCCTCAACTTGTCGTAACAATCCCAAAGAAGAAACTCCAAAAATGGCCGTATATTTATTGGCGTCTGTGGTAGAGGAGTTTTCATATCTCTATATTTTTCTTGTGTAGGTATTATCTGAAGACGTCTCGTGAAATCAAGCGAATGGAAGCTATCAGTCAGAGCCCGGTGCTGGCTCACCTGGCGGACACACTCGAGGGAATCATCATTATAAGAACGTACCACATGGAAGAAAAGTTTATGGAAGCATTTAACGAGTAAGAAAACTTTGAGAAATCACGAATTCTGTAAAAGTGGTTTGTTCTGCGCAATCATATTAGCCATTTGCACAAATTTTAATTGTTTCGTAGCCTACTCAATTGCATATTCCACAAGGTAGATGTGAATCGTACAGATTGAAGAGCGGCTTTCACTGATTGTCGAAAGGTGTTGGCTTGAAAATATCGTGCCACTTTTTCATCCAATCAGAGGTAAATCCAAAATCAATTGTGACGCGTTCTCCAACATTTTCCCGCGCTTCGCGTCAGCTGCATGAAATTGCTTCGAATTTTGATTGGTTCTCTGGATTGTTGGTGCCCTTTGTGATTGGCTAGAGTGATTGCTTTTTGTTTTGGTTTTACGACACTCAATTGTAAACCGCACTAAAAGAAATACATAAATCATATTACGCAGGGTACAAGACAGAAGAAGCCAGATCTGGTTTCTTGTGCCTCACAGCGCCCGGTGGATGGGAATTCGTCTTGACTTTGTCTGTACCTTGTTTGTGGCTGTGGCAACATTCACTGGAGTTTTCACAACAACTGACGCAGGTACGCAGCGTTAAAAGAAGCAGCTATCGTTTAGCACTTTATCTCTAGATGCGTGAGAGTAGAAAGAGAGCTCATTGTTGTAAGAGCCGTGTAATCTTCAAAGCTCAAAAATATAATTGGATCACGCGAAACCCAACAATAATGATTTGATTTCGTAGAACAATACTAGACAAATGACAAGAACGCCCAGGTAACCGAAATTAGAATGAAGTTTACAAACTTCCGATTACAATTATGACAAAAATAAAAATACGAGGTTGGGGTACCTCAAAATTTTGCAGCAATATTGTAAGAACATGGAATTCACAGAAATTGCTGTTTATATTCAGTTAGCATAGTATTTCGGCAGAACAAGTCCGCGAACAACGACTAAACAATTACAGGAAATGAATATACTTTGTACCTCAAACTGGAGAGTTTCAGTTAAATACTAGTAACGCTCTAGTTTGGACGAATATTTGACTACAATCTTACAATCAATCTTTTCGCAGGTACACTTGGTCTATCTCTAGTTTACGCCATCAGTACTGTTGGCCAGCTGCAGTTTGCCATGCGCCAGACAGCGGATGTTGAAAACATGATGACTGCAGTAGAGCGAGTCATAACCTACACAGAGCTCCCCAAGGAACCAACATATGACATCAACAAGAAGGCCCCTCCAGATTGGCCCCAGGATGGAGGCCTTCGTTTTGAGGACCTCTCGCTAACTTACTACGAAGGAGGCCCACAAGTGCTCAACAACATTTCGATAAATATTAATGCAAGAGAAAAAGTTGGCGTGGCTGGGCGAACGGGAGCCGGGAAGTCTTCTTTAGTGTCCGCCTTGTTTCGGATGCCAGAACCAGCTGGGAATATTTACATCGATGGTTTAGCTCTAAGCGAATTTAACGTTCAGAGCACAAGGCCCGTAATCTCAGTCATTACTCAAAACCCGACTCTGTTTAGCGGGCCGTTACGCATCAACCTGGATCCATTCTCCCGCTTCACCGACGCGGAGGTCTGGGGCGTGCTAGAGCAAGTTCAAATGAAATCGAAAATCCAGGAACTTCCGGGAGAGCTTTATTTCGAGCTCTCCGAATCAGGGAACAATTTCGGTGTGGGAGAGAGGCAACTTCTCTGTTTAGCGAGGTCTTTGTTGAATAAAAACAAGATCATTGTCATGGATGAAGCCACGGCTAACGTGGATTTCAGCACCGATAGGAGAATCCAAGAGACAATACGAAGCAAGTTTCAAGATTGTACCGTTATTACAATAGCGCATCGTTTGAACACGATCATAGACTATGACAAAGTGTTAGTAATGGACAAAGGAACAGTTGTAGAATTTGATAAACCTAGTGTCCTTCTACAAGATAACGACGGGGTTCTAACAGAACTATTTCGAAATCAACAAGTAGCGTTATCTTAGTTACAATACCAACTAATAGTTAATACCTAATTCGTTCTACGAGGGGCACCTGAAGGGAGTCATTACGTCATAGGCTTGATTTGTTGAAGACAGTTACCACGACTTCCTTCAGGCGCGTCTCATGATGGAAACTGGTCATTTCATGTAAGTTTTTTTTGCCGCAAGTTTTCAAGGTTCCTTGAAAAATACAATCTACCATAAGCATCGTAGGAAGTGTTGCACCCCTTCGAATTTCATAAGGGTTGTTAGTTCACGAGATTTTAGGATTAAAATGTTCAGTACAGAGAAGAATTACTTAAAAGACTACAATTAGATCTCTCTTGAAGTACTATTTATGCGATTTTCTGCTCCACATAGCCAGAAAAAATTATTTCTCCATCACTGTGAACAGTGGACACTATTTTACAACTTAAAAAGGGCGAGCATATAATTTTAAATTTTTGCTAATGAATGAAGAAGTACATATATCCGCTAAATTAGACGAAAAACTTTAAAAAATTCTCAGTAGGAACGAAACTTCAGTCTGTTGATAATTAGAATCAGTAATCAGATCGGCCGTGGGCTGCGTATTGACGGATTTTTCAAGAATTTCAAAATTATAGGGATTAAGTTAAAATAAACGAATGGCTGAAATGTTTTCAAATTTTAAGTTCTCATTCAATAAAATTCTGGTGTCTGAGTTGTTTTATGGTGACATGTGGCAGACGTAATGTTTTTATTAGCTTTAATGATTCGGGCTCAAAGTATTGTTCATACAGATTGCAACATTAATTTAATTCCAGGATTGGAAATAAGTGATCTTTGAAGACAATACTCTCCAGGTAGCGCGATTTTAGCGTAGAAAAGCAGCATAATTTTCGCTTGCTGGGGTTACGGGAATAGGCATAAGTCAAAAAAAAGAAGAAAAAGAAAAAGAAAAGAAACACACACAAATGGTTGCTTCTGAATGCAGAGCGTTCGCAGAGATAGAAATTCCACCGAGAATCGTCTGAACCCACTATTTTGGTCAAAAAGGTTGCTAAGAAACCGTAACATGAACACAAGCGCGTCAATTTCCGAAGCACTTCAGTTTTCTGAAGTACTTGTAAGTTAGAGTTTTCGGGGAACAAGCAACAACTTTTAATTCAAACCCGGGTCTTTTGTTGTTTTGAAGTCGCGAAGAGGTTGAGAAAGAAAAGCAGAAAATGTCCTACTAAAAGACTACAAAGAGATGCTTGATCAAGGTTCATTGCTAACTGATATGTTTAATTTTGAGTTCTTGCCAACAAAACAATGATTTGTCAAGAACAACATCGGTAACCACAACCGTCACAACGAAAAATCCACCGATAAAAGAATTTCTAACGATTAAATACAAGAAAAACAATGATTTTACTCTTAGAATCACTAGTAAGAGTACCATACGAAACAACGGCCAACTTCACAAGCAGCTAATTTATAATACGGAGATTTACGAGAAAATATACATATCTACAGCATTTCTACATCTGTTTTAGATTTTTGAGGGCGTTAAAGGGTAGAATATTTGTTAAGACGGTAAAATCCGATCAGAGACACCTTCCTATCAAGAGAATTTTTCTTTTTGTCAACTCCTGTTGAGAAGCTTCTTCGAATGCAGCCGAGCAGAGTGAGCCAGAAAAGTAGCAGGTAAAGTACGGTTTGGTTTTCCGTACATAAATAACGTCGAATAAAATATCTTAAAACCAAACATTTCGCTTCTCTAAATGAAAGTCCGAAACGTGCAAGCAAGTGAGGCAGTTGACAATAATCAAACTAACTCGCCGTTAGTTGTACTGACAACAGTCAGTAAGAACTGCTAACAATGACTTGTATCAAACTACCCTGTACTAACTGTGCCTGCTTCCTGCGAGAAAAACAAGCACTAACATATTTCAGCTCTTATAAGGAAAAATGTTTCAACCATATAAACTTCTGTTCAACTCTGTAAAACCTCATTTTCTCTTTTTTTTTTCAGTTAAATAACAAATATTATCAGGCGTTCTGTATAAGCTACTGATGTTCCTTTAGTGCTTCTCTCTTCATGGCGTTCACATTGGCGACAATTTTAAGCGCGGGACCAAGTTTCATGTGCATAGCGACCACCATGTGTTCCTCGCGGAGCAGCATCAATGCCTGGCCGTCAATCTCCTGCGACACGAACGAGTCTGCGTACTCAGAACAGCCATTAAGGGACCTACACACAACGAACAGTTTTCCATTTAACAAGAATATAACCAATGTCGAAATAAGTTTTCGTGGCGCGTAGACCTTGACGTGAAACCACAGTTTTCGCGCCATTTTAACTTTCTCCGTGAACGCAGAAAGGTTAGTACTACACGTAAGCCAATCAGCAGCTGATTGGCTCAGCTGGCAGTAAGCTAAATCCAAATGGTCACCATGCCATAATTTCGCACCATTTTTCCAATGATTGCGTTCGTCTTATACAACTAGAACTGTGTTAAGAACTGTTCCGGTTTAAGTGACCTTGAATTTTGCTCAACAAAAAAAGATATTTAACAGCGTCGAGGAGACGATAATGCCAAAACGGGCACACTCGTTTTAACTGATGGTCGAAGTCAAACGAAACGACCTTGAAAGGAAAACATTTAGAGGACGTGGAGCCGTCAATCTCTGATAAGCAGCCGCAATTTTTGAGTGTAATAGATACTAACAACAAGAAATTGACCGTCAAGAAACTCACTTTACGAAGGCAGCGACCTCCTGTACATTCCACTTGGCAGCTTCAACGTGTTCATACAACCACAAGGGTTCCACATCACTTCGTGTCCAGTCAAAGTTAAGCGGGTGAACAGTGTCTGCGAAAACAAAATAATTATTTTTAAAGATTTTCACTGTATTTATTTATTGACGAAGAATCTACCAACAATATCTTCATACATTCTAACAAATCGATTCTCAAATGAATTTCAAATGATTCTTTACCATGGCTTCGTCTAAAAACTTGTGCAAGGTTCTCAGCCAATCGGAGCGAGGCCATTGTTTCTTGTTAAGTCAGGTGTCAAATCAAAACCAACGGTCTTCTGAATTTGTCATGGTTGCCAACAGTTACAGCTTTTATTTATTCTCGTTCTAATTGGGTGATTGCAGGGTAGTAATTGCTTTAAGGTTCGCCGTTGTAAAGCCATAAATTACGGAACAGGTCATGCAAATTAAAGCACGATCGTAGTAATTGTTTTTTTTTTTAAACTTATTTTGAGCGAACATCACATCATTTGTTATTCTCGACAAAACTATTTTTCTAGTGATTCCTTATCCATTTTTCTTACTGGGAAATTCATTACAAACCGTTAGATCGTTGTTCAATAAAATCGTCGAAGTAATGTTGAAAAATCAGAAAGTGTGTTTAGCAAATCATGCAGCAAAATTCGCATAATGGTACAATCTTTTAATCAGGCGGACTTCCAGGGTTAAAATTTGCTTAAAAAATGCTTTAAGCCAAGAATAACTAGCAAGTGCAATTTTCTACGGCAAGATTAAACAAAAGAAAAAAATACTAAAAAAAATTTACATAACATTGCAACAAATTGAAGAAATATCTGCAAGGGACTTGAAATTACTTTCGTTTACCAAGTTCTTCAGTGTAATGAAAGTAATAAATAACAACAGATATCACACAACATGTTCACAAAACCTTACTCATAAATAACAATTTCTCACATCAAGATGATAACATTAACTGAAATGGCTGAAGGAAGCTGGACACAATCATTTTATTTTCCGTGAGAAGCGAGTGCCAGTTGTTTTCCTGTCATCCCGGCGTATTTACATCTAGCCAGTGAAGATATAATTCGTTAAATTGACTTTACTGAAGACGCTAGCTTGAAGTGGAAAGCAAATTAACACAAATCCACAAGATTAAACCAAGACGATGACGAATTTCTTTCTTTCTTTCTTTTGCGATCATAGCACGCGACCTTCGCCAGCAATTGACTGCAGTTAAGTTATATAGAAAAACCGATTCAAATTCTCTACCTTGATCCGAAAAACGCGTTTCTGTTACTATCTAAACGGCGGTACTTTCAAAGCAAACAAACGGCGAAATGTATCAGTACATCGTTTACTACCTGTTTGATCTTCCTCTTCGCTTTTGATTGCCTCTCCGTCAGGAACATTTCTAGGCACCTCTTGTTTTGGTTTGCCCTTGCCCTTTTTTTGATCAGACATTTCGTTTCCCATTTTGACAAGTTTTACTGGAGTCAGTGAAGCGCAATGCCTTACGTCCGCAAAATACACCTGCCAAAAGATATTGGCAGCCAGGACAGCAGTGCTTTAGACTACGACTATGAATAACTTACACTTGATAAGAAAAGTGGCATACCAACTGATATCAAAACATCGTCGTGGAAACTACAAAATATATATTTCTTTCTCCGTGAGAAATGACCGCTAAAGCAAGAAAAAAGGAATAAATGACGCCAAATACGATATTGCTTACTTATCTTGCGCGAAAACAAATCGACCAAAGAAAGAAAAAGGCGAACAAGCAATTTAAAAGGTAAGTTAAAATTCAGACAAGATAGGCACTTTAAATATTAGAATATTCGTTAAGTTAAAGCAGAGGCGGACAAGAAGGGCGGACCTTTTGACACGGAGTTTTGTTTCTCAAGTTACGAACGGAAAGTAAACAAGAAACATAAGCACAAAAAACTAAACCACCTTAGCAAGCAAACCTGGAGAAAGTAGCCAGTCCTAGAGACATTACAGAGCTCTTTGCAGTCATGTACACAACGAACCGGACGGAAACAAATCGCCGCTCATTACGAAAATGAAAAAAAAGTGATTAGCTCCTAGTCAAAACACAATAATGTTTATCTACCAGAATTTTGTATTAATCAAAACACCTTCATCGCAGTTCTAATACTATTTTAAACTACGAAAAGAATGAACAAAATGAGTGAAAATTACGCTTTAATTTAAAATTTACCGTTATTTATAATTTTATATGAAGAAATATGAAATTCGTCCCCAGGCCCTGTCAGCATTCCAAGTGAAAGAACATTGAGTATGGCGTATGAAACGATGGCTTGACGGGAGCTTTCGCATCAAATTAGAGGACGAATGAAAGAGAATTGTGTTTCTCCGACCGCGAGTTAAATGACATACTATGGACTTTCTAAGCCGATGTTCAATTTGGAACAAGTCTTTCATTCATTCATTCTTCAAGTGTAACTTGGCAAATTTTGCGATGAACCATGAGTTCTCGACCCATTCTTTGACTGGTTGCAGAGACATTTCCCGCGCTATTTTTGACTACACTCTTACAGTTGAGCTAACGTATTATGCCTCAGTGAAGTATTAAGCAATTTCATTGCGAAGCTCTTGTATTATTGAATTGGTTATTACAATCTGTAGCTATCGGGATATTAGTTGGCCTTGTATGTTGACAATACAGTGATAATACCATGATTTTTTGATGGGACATTGTTTATTTGCTCCACGATGTGTCATTGGCGGGCCCGAGTGCGACGCACCGTGAGCGGGAAAGATGACCCAAATCTTGCCCTGTGATAGGCTACCTAAGCGGGCAAAATGGCGCATTCTTGTCCGCTCGGGATTGCGCGTTGTGTCCCGCAAGAAAAAAAAATCCATTTCCCTCTTGGTCAATAACCCATATGTTCCCCTAAAAAACCATGTTATTCCTTTACTGTTTTGTGGTGACCATTTTGAATTTAAGTACGCAGTCATCTGATGCGAGGACTGGAATCGAGAAATATTTGAAAATCACTCTAAGAAAGGGTTTGTTACAGACAGTCCATAGTTAGTTGTCCTCTACTAACTATGGACAGTCTGAATCCTGTTAACACATGCTAAAAAGAATTTTTGTAATCAAATTGGTCAACGACAAGTATATATTAAGGGCACAGACTGAGGCAAAACTGAGTTATAGAACTATACGAAATATAAAATTTCTGCTTTCACGTTTACATGCAGAATTACAATTGTAAGCAGCACACTTTAGTTTCCTTCCACGATAGTACAGCAAAAAGTAAAGCCGTGCGGAGGGTTTCTAGTTTTCGTTTCTAAGAGTTAAGGCGCCATTTTCTGCACTTTGTCCAACAAGAGTGTTTTGGGTTTTTAATGTATACTTGTACATAGTTGCAACAAATGCTACTTAGTCCAGGTATTAACAGCTTGTGTAGTATCTCCTCAGATAACAGGAGGCAGATAAAATTATTGCAAGGAAAAGTGGAAGTTTACTTTTAATTCATCACTTAACTTCAACAGCAGTTTTCTCTTCCTTGTAAATTATATACACTCTTTTTTTTGTAAAAGAATATATTATTGTTTTTCCGTGCCAGGCTGAGTATTCTTATTTTTGTGGTGATTTTATGCTGAAAGATATTGTTATGAATATTCTTAGATTATAGTGTATGACATTTCTGTTTGTTGACTTTGATGATGTTGAAGTAATTTTGGAGCCAGACTGTAACAGGCAATGAAAACTGATACGACACACCCAACTAGTTTGTTAGTTTTGCCATTTAGAGAAAGGAACAATTTTATACAATTTTGTATTAAAAACATATACAGCTCAACCCCTATTAAATGGTCACCCTCTGACTGGAAAAAGGAAATTGTGTGAAATTGTGAAACTGCTTTCTTGCTGACTGCTTCTCAGAAAATGTATCTAAAAACAAACTTGGCGATAAAACACTTACAGAACTCAGTTATCACAAAAGATCGTGATTTGTCAGTGTCTTGCAGATCAATATTATTAGCCTCTTCCTTTGGCTTTGGCAAATAAGTGATCTGCTTGCCACTGAGTGACCAATCACTGTATTTTGCTCAACCTCGTCCAATCATTGTTAACTATGTGGCAGGACATGTGTCCCTTCAAATCTTTATTTTGGCCAGAAATAATAGAAATTTGATCAGACATTCATTAGCGATTTATGTAATTCTCATACACAAATAACCTGATAACTCAATCCAAAGCCTCACAAGAAGTACAGTAATAAGAGTGCTTACACAATGATTTTCAAGGCAGATGTTTGTTCACATTTTATGCAAGTCTAGAGAGGCTGATATCAATAAAGATGTCAAATTAAATGGACAATTTCCAAAATTTGAGTGGAAAATGTTTGATGACTGCCTGTTACTTCTTCTAGTGTGCAGCCAAAGCATACCAAAAAAATATGAACTGGTATCTGCTGTAACCAAATTTGTTCAAAAGTCTAGTGATATTAGGTCAGAGACTTGATATCACAAAATATCAGGGCACTTGGCAAGGTTCTGATTGGCTAGTTCATAGCAGAGCTACCGTGGCTCGAAGGGTCGCCAAGTGGAGCCCCATAGCTATAGGAACAGTACCACATGCCAGGATCGAAACAGAAAACAATGCAACTCTTTGTTCATGATCATCATGACTAGTGGCATGGATAATGGATCATGGGCACCTGTGCCCTATGATGACGAGGATAATGACATTGTGCAACATGGTGGCCTTACTCCAGCTAATAAGTTGACTGAGGCATGCACCCTTGGTTTACAGCGTGCATCTTGTAAGATAAGTAACTGTATTATCACTGTTGGTTTTATAACAGATATTTACCTGTGCAACAGAGATTTGTTCACTTACCAAACTCATTTACTTGAATAGAGGCATCTACCATGTATGGACCAGGCTGTTGGTCATAATACTATGAAATAAAAATAAGAGCAAAGGTCAAATTATTAACTGATCATTAAAATACACATAGCACAATTACTGTTATCTTGTAATGGCAGATAACAATTTATAGCAGTGTTCGTTAAAATATATATATTTCAAACTACCAATTACATGCTTTGGTTTGGCCAGATCTAGTTAAGTAACTTTTTAAGAAAATTGCAAAACTGAATCATAGTTTATGAAGATTGGAAATAATATTATTGATGTGATAGCCCACAGTACAGATGTGTTACTGAATTTATTGAAAGAAAATGATAAGAAGTCAGAACGCTAGTGGGGAGGGTGGTGAGTGATTTTGAGGAGAAAAAAAGCGAAACTCACCATGGGTAAAGAATAAGACGACTTTTTATGTGAGGCTAGTTGATTTGCAGTGGAATGCCGTCCACCTCGGGTACGAGCATGAAACGCTACCATCTTACGTGAGCAGCTTACACTGTATCTTCTTGCACAGGAAGTTGAACAGAACCTCTTTGGACCTCTGTGGTGTGGGGCTTCTGTCAGGCGGCCACACTGTTCACAATGTCCAATGCTGGAGTCATCAACAAACACATCATTGAATGCTTCATCATTGCTTGATGGGCTTTCAGCTGAGTAGAGATGAAGAACACCAACAATTTAAATTAAAAGTTATTTCACAGAGGATTTTATCGTAAAGTCAAAGTGGCTAAAGCCACTGAACTTGGAAAATGGATGGCCTGAAAATAGTGGCAATAGACCAATTTTGATATATTAAAATTCAGCCTAACACAACAGACCTCAGCACAAGGCTCTGGGGAATAACTACAGAGTCTGTATGGTTTATTCCCTGGAGCCTCGTGCTGAGGTCTATTGTTTTAGGCTGAATTCTGATATATCAAAATTGGTCTGTTTTGACGCCACTGAAGTGAGTTTTTAATCTGTAGGTCATATATTACTGTAATGAACTAGAGAGGTTAAAAATGAAGTTAAAGCCCACTGGCATTGTTAATGTGTCTGTCAATGTTAAGCCCAAGAGGGGGGGAGGAAACACGCGGCATATGTGGGGCATTTGACTTTTCAGAAGAATTTTTGGTCAAAATCCCCACAGTATGGCCCAAAAAACTAAATCAGATCAAATATCCCCACCTTAGCATAGTGCCGTTGCGTGTTCCCCTTTGGGTGTCTGTTCATTTCAAGAGAGGCACAATTTGCTCTCAGTGGATGAAGAATATTAGAATTCCAATGCTTTATTGTCTGAAAAAAGGNACGTTGAGACATGCTCTAATTGGGTGTCAAACGTGGCATGATTGGTCATCAAACATTTGAAGTTTAATATAGACCGTAATATGAATTTTTGTGCTCTGAAAGACTCTGAAAGTCTTGCTCCTGCCAATATTTCATGGTTATACTAGAAGTAAAACCAATTTTGCAAAAGGAGTATGCATATTGACACAGGTCAGGGTCAATTTCTCTGAAGAAGTCTGCAATGTCCAATCTTTCTGCCATTTCGTGTGCTGAACTTTGAGTGCACCATGGTCTGCTAAACTTCAAATGTTTGATGACCAGTCATGCCACGTTTGAGAACCAATTGGAGCATGTTGCGACGTCACATATTCACACTTAAATGCAAATGATGGTGTAGGGTTGTGTATGTAATTATATCTTTGATGAGATCTAAAACTGATCTTCAGTAACTAAATGCAGTTATGATCATAGGTTCTGGGGTTTCAATTCTAGGTGTGGGTTAATTATCTCAAGTTTTTTCCCTTTCTTTGCTATGTTTTTAGAGATCTTAGAAATAAATACTATAAGCTCTCTCCCATCTAGGTTTTCTTTATTAACTTTCTAACACCCTCAAAGAACATTTGACTTTAAATAGAAATAGGTAATAGTTCATGTAGAGTCAGTGCCTGATTTAGATCAACACATTTAAGAGTGGATGTCTATTACAATAACGTTGCTCATCACAGCCTTTTGATTGGTTTCTTGTCAGCTTATTTGCAATTCTTTTAAGCCACTTGTATATATTTAAACTCTACCAAAAGATGTAAGCTTTCCCAGTTACAAAACCACCCACATCTCCTTACAGACGTAATGTGTTACAAATGTAAGCCAAGGTATAAACAAGTGTATTAAATGTGTTAGCTGTATCTCTCATTCAATACAAATGTAAACGGAATCAAAAACACCACAGAACAGGCTGTTCATTATATCGCACCTTCAAATCCAACATCCATTTCCACATCTCCATTTTCGTAATCTTGGTTGCCATTGAGCTGGTTTTGGTTCACTTCTTCAGTGTCATCACCCGACTATATCAATCATGGAAGTTTGATATTTTTGTTAATAACACTTTAAACTTAGGAACACTTCCAAAATACTGTATGGCAAAGGGTATCTTTGCATGAGGTGTTCACTTGAAAAGGTGCCCTCCATCAAGAGAAGGCTCCTTAAATTATTGAAGATTTCATTTTACAAGTGGTCGTTGGCTGTGGGAGGTGTACCTGAATAAACAAGGGGTTTGCTATGATGGGAGGTCTCTGTTACTGGGAGGTGTCTTATGATGTGTCTAATACTATTGTAGGCTTGATTTCCACCGATCTCTTGTATCTGGTCTGGTTGTGTCGGGCTACTTTCCTGAACAGTGGCTGGTAATTGAGCCTAACACTATTGTGGAGGTTGCTTTTCCATAAGGGAGATATCCACTTACAACAAGTATCCAATATTATGAGATGTCTGTTGCTCAGCGAGCTGCCATGTATAGCAGATGTCTGCTGATGGAAGTATCCATTTATGAGAAGTGTCAGATTATGGGGAGGTGACCACTTACATGTACAGTGTCAGGTATCTTATAACACTTAATGATTTCTTGCGTGTCTGGCGAGGACCATAACTAAGCATGAACTAGCAGAAGGAGGTTCATAAGAAGGTTGCTTTTGATCCTTTGTAGGATTATATACTAGGTAATAAGTGACCATAGTCAAGTACAAAGCCTGGGTATTATTTTGTTATGAACTTGGCCTAACTTGTGATTAAGTCAAAGCATGTAATCAGAGAGGGGGAGATTTACTCTCGTTTTCAGTTTCACTAATATTAAGATTAATGTTAATCACTAGGAAATAATAGTAATAAAAAAAACACAACGACGATTTGGTGGCTGGCTAATAAATTAATTGGACAGCATGTTAAGTATCGGCGCTAAGAATTAAAAAGACCAAAATTAATTTAAGCCACATGCAAGCTCTGACAGCCCGAGATTAACCGAGTAAAATATATGTACAGTACTTGAACAAAAAACACCTGTGTGTGAATAAGTCGACGCTGCAATATTATCAGACGCTATTAGTAAACCTTTACGCGATTTTGGAATTTAAACTGACAGTTTTTACATACATTGATTCCTACGTGATAATGAAATGAGACCAGTCTTACCGTGAAGGGATAGTTGCTCTCTTGTATGATAAATCCTTCTACAAAGTGTGTTAGAATTCTCGGCGATGCACTCCGTTTCGAAATACGGCCTTGGTCGAGATGTAGCGTGTTTGCCACCATTTCCATTACTTTTCAAAGTTTTACATATCGGTAGTGCGTTTAGCAGAGAAGGATTAAGTAATCATCAGCCTACAGTTGTTCTAAAGAAATCTGTGACAGGAAAAAACGGACAAAGAGTACAAAGCGACCAAAGCGACAAAACATCAAAATGGCGACATGTGTCCGCCTGAGCCCGCAATGCAAGAGCACAGTTGGCTTTGGCATCGGCTTTCTATAACTCACCCGGGGTCCACCCGGGGTAGCGTAAGTTGACAAACTGACTTTCTCTAATTATTTTCCATAGATTCTTTATTGTCACACTGAAAAGAAATCTTTGCCGATATTCCTTAATCTTTTACTTTAAATTTTACCAATTTGCTGGAAATTGTGAAAGAACTAAGTAATATTGGGGGCAACAAAAATAAGGCTCTAGGGATCCCTACAAAATATTGCTTATTGCTGCTTGGAACCATGTTGGAACTAATGACATGGCGGGTGTTAGGTCCGATGTTGTTGTCGTTGGTTCCTGCTTCGTTGATATGATCAGTTATGTTCCTTATTTTCCAAAATTTTATGAGACAGTTAAGGGAACAAAATTTCAATTGGACTTTGGTGGAAAAGCAGCTAATCAGTGTGTGATGGCCCAAAAGCTTGGAGCAAACACTGTTATGGTCGCTAAAATTGGCAGCGATCAGTTTGGGAAAGACACGATTCAGAATTTTAAGAAGTTTGGGGTGAACACTGATTTTATTTCGGTAACTGATAAAGCAGAGACAGGTATTACTAGCATAGGTAAGGTTTTACACTCAATCCTTAATCCTTTATAAGGTCATGTTATCTTCCCGGGGTATCCAATCGATGAAATCGATAATCGATGA